TCAACAGCTGTTCTTCTCTACTGACCGTGATAGACAGGTGTTCATGTTGTTTGCTGCGTGATTCGGCCTCGACTACTGCACGTTGTGAGCGTCGGGTAGAGATTCGACATGCACCTTTCACTACACTCCACTCTTTTCCAAAACCTTTCGGAGGACGGAAGTGGCATACTTCGCAGCTGTGGACCCGCTCACCTCCCACATTTCACACAGCGTCGTGATGTGTGAAATGGTGGTGTAGGTGCAACCTCCCAACGCGCCTACCTAACAATTTTCTACTTTTCACCTAAAGATTTTCCGTCGAGCGGAGGGGCGGAGGAGAACACCGACACCACCTATGACTCCCCGCGAAAAAGTACGGCTCCCTATGTGTTTCACACAACGATGCTGTACCCTGCTCTCACATGAGCACGCATTCACCTCGCAGATTACTGTCTAGCTCACGTTGGCACGGACCCTCCTCAAATGAAGTGTACAGGTTGTCCCCAGGAAGACATGAGACGCAGTCACGAGCACCTGACCTCTTTCGGCGCATTAAAAAGTGGCAGCAGTGCCCTTCCCAACCAGAAGAGAAGAAGCCACGTGGAAACTCACTGTAACGTTCGTGGAAATAAGGAGAAATAATCTTATTGAATAATGTTATCACAAGAATAGAAATGACAAAGGCGGTGAAAATGGCTAGTGCGTTCACGCGCATATAACAAGCAAAGCGAGTGTCCTGAAATTGTTCACAGATAAATTAAAGGCACAAGGCGCGATAGTCCGGTCCTAGGTGTAAAATTTTAGCAAGGGGTATATAGTGGAGAAAATGACGTAAATGCGAATGAAATGGTAAAAACTGCCAAGAAAAGCTTTTTTCTGCACTCTGAAAGCAATTTGGACGGATTCCCCGTTGGCATCGTGCCATAACAGCTACGGTAGGTACAGCTGCATGTGTGTACTCATATATCCTACAGCACCCAGGGTACAGCATCGTTGTGTGAAACACATGGGGAGGGGGGGAACGTAACTTTTCTTTGCTTTTTTTTCTCTTGCTTTTCGCTTTTCTCTTCTTTTCTTCTTCCCCTTCCCCCGCTCGAAGGAAAATTTTTGGGTGAAAAAACTGGAATGGGGGAAATTTGTAAGTAGTTGTTGAGGAAGGGGGAGGGGTTGTACCGAGACCCTCATTCAGGTGTGGACGGGGAGGTGGTCGTACTGACACCCTCGGAGGGGAGGGGTCGTACCTACACCACCACCTCTCACATCCCGATGCTGTATCCTGACAGCTCCGCAGCCACATTGCAATCCCTACCGTACTTCGCGAATGAAGCGATGCGAGCATCAGCACTTATCAGGACATGAGAGGGCGGGCAAGCGCGGTAGGCATCTGGGTCGGCATGTTGCGGCTTGATAAGGCCGCTCATTGACCTCTACCTCCCTTGGAAAGGCGCCACGGTGCGCCTGTTCAGGGGCGCCGAAATCTGTCCTGGTAGGCGTATTCATCCTACACGTCTGGGATTTTCGTCCCACTGGCCTTTAATGGGGTAAATCACATCGAGCAAACAATGCACGGCAACGTTGGATATATAATTTGGACGAAACGTGTGCAGCCAACTTTATGCTCTATTCATCTAGTGAAAACACCAAAAAAATGCTGAAAGTCTAAAAACTCAAAAAAAATGAACTTTCATATGCCAGCAAACTTGCGATATGGGGCGACCGCGCCGGGGGGTGCCTGCAAGAAATGTTTTCCGTGCGTGATGTTTACTACGGCTAGCGCCGTTTGGACTCCAGAAATCTCGGCACCAAGCTCATTTTTCAAGTGCCCAAGTCACCAAATCCCCTAAAAGGCTGTATATAGGGCTCCTAGGCTCAGCCTTAGCAGAGCGCAGATAATCTTAGTGTCACCCATTAGCGCCAGCTACAGGACTGAATGTCATATCCGTAACCGGGATGTTAAACCACCCCTATATACGAGTTTTTGGCGGATTTGTTGACTTAGACCATTTAAAAATGAGCTCGGTGCCGAAATTTCTGGAGTCCAAATGGCATTAGCCGTTTACTACTAGGCATACTTACCCTGTACTGTTTCTGTCAGACAAATTATCCTGTCCACTACCCTTAGCCTTAAGGAAACAACACATTAGCTCTTTAGCATGTACGGGGTTAAGGAGTTTCTACGTCTGGACATGCGCAGGGATAGGGGTCCAAGACCATGTGATAGACTAATTCCTCCATGCTCCGCCCAAATTGCGGTCCCAGACTCCCGATCCTAAATACTGTAAAAAATTTAAGTAAATGTAAATTAATCAAAAACTCGTGTGCGATTTTGGCTCCAAAGCCATAAAAAGACTTTGACTTAACGAGTAGGACCCTTTTCATTTTCTTGTTGGTGAGAATGGGCGGCTTCTGAAGAAGATTGCAGAAGCATGTAGATCAGTTGCTCTTGAGTTCTAGCACTCGTGACCAGCTTCGATTTGGAATTTGTGGCATGAGCAACACCTCAAGTGTTATCCGCATCAGGAATTTGCATTTTAATTTTATTCAAAAGCGCAATTAAGACTTGGCAAAGTGCTAGGATCGCTCGGACCGCTGCGCCCAACAGGTGCCGCGCGGACCGCGGTTAGTATAAACGGAATCGGGAGTCTTGAGCGGAGCATGGGGGACTTAGCCTATCCCACGGTCTCCGTCCCCGTGCATGTTCGGATGGGGGAACCGCTACGCTTCGACAGCTGGGGGCTCATTTTCCCCGGACATGCCAAGGACAGCTGAGCGTACGTTGTGTCTTCAAATGACGTGACAAGAGCAGCAATCTCACCATTCGTTTTGGAATACAATTCGAAGAACTGATCCGACAGCAGAACGAATGAATTCCATAATAGCACCGCACGTTAACCATGCAAAATCAAAATAAACTGGTTAGTTAGTGGTGAGCTTGCCTGAAGATACCGCCGAACACGTTCGTGAAGTGCAAATTCCATTAAAGAACAACATCAAGTTTCGAAGTGAAAAATACGGCTGCTTTTCGTAGTGCACATGGACGAGGACAGATCCTGTACAAAAACTCAGCCACGTCAAAGGCAGTTGGCACGATACTCGGCCGAAAATGCCAGCGGGGCGCTACTTAGACAGCGTTCATAGTTCGCGGCAATCGCTGCGATCGCGGGCGATCGTGGCGATCGCCAGTAGGAGGACCAGCTCGCCCCAAGATGGACGGATTGAAAAACTTGTTGGAAAGGTATTTTCATGCGGTTTTTTCTTTCTTCCGCTTAATCCTCTTCAACGTACCTCACCTCACATTCCCCCCTACCCTCCCCCCGACCTCGCCCCCGACTCCGCCCCTCACTTCCCTGAATCCGCCCCATTACTTCATCACTTCTTCATAACGCCTTTCACCTCCCCGATTTCAGGGAAATTCCCCCGCCGACTCAGTGGCGTGTGTCATTAGGTCCGCCTGGGGCACTATGTACTCAGTGTGTCATCCGCTGCTGTCGCGGACTATGAACACTGCCTTAGCGAGGAAATATTGAAAAAAACAAAGCAATACGGTCAAAAACCTGTGAAGAAAAGACTTCGCTCTCAATAACTAAATTTCCCGTAGGCACCTTGTCAATAACTGTTACGGTAGATACGGCTGCATGTATTTATCCAGCTCTCGTCCGTAATTTCAGCATCGTTGCCTGCTTAATTCTTTGCTGTGCCTCTCGAGATTTCTGTGCGAAATGTCTATTTTTTCAACGGTCTAGCTTTACTACGTGGTCGTTTTCTTCAGGGAGCTGGACCTGTTTTGAACATACCATGAACATCAGGAGGTGAACACTACCCTGCCAAGCGCCAAGCCAGCTCTAACAGTTCCGATGACTTGATCGAAACTCACGAAACTGAACAATACTGGGAGCACTGAGCAGAATTTCACCGCAAATCCGCTGTCAGAATTTCACCGCAAATCCGCTGTCGTAGCGTTAGTCGGTAGTGAATGAGACCACCGTATCGTCTCCTCATACGTACATACATAGTTCATGGTAGCGAGCGAATGCAGTTTCTACTTCGAATTTATCAAAGCCACGAGAGCCTGATTGCTTACGTGTAAGCTCGCTTGGAAAGGTCTTCGTCCCATACCTTGACGAGAAAGAAACCTTCGAACCAAAAATGTGGGAGGTTCATTTGAGCGAACTGAGGGGAAGAGGGTCCCAGCATTTCTAGAACCCATCCTCCCTCCCCCATCATTTCGCTTACTAAGAGGCTTCTACGCCCCTATAAACGCGTCTGAAAAAAAAACTACTAACCAATGTTTGTTGTTCCCGTGATGGTAATTTTCTTACAAGTACAGGCTACTAGTAGAAGTCTGGGACGCAGTCTGAAAAGTATTACTGTTCTCTGAAGAATGAACAAGGCGCTGTTTGGCTTCGAGAGGACATCCTGCACTTCTCTAGTTCCTTTGGTTTGGTCCCTGTTCACTTATAGCTTTCACATTAGACTAGTAAACCCTTGTGAAGCTGCGATATTGTTCGAGTGAGCCATTCGCCCACTTGGTGGCCTCTACAAGGTTAGCTGAGTACCACACGTTTCCTAAATGCACAGAATTGGGAGAGCAAGCAAACGTTCGTTGGCTGATAAATCGCCTGCACACAGTCCATCCTTTTTGTAGGGGGCCTCCTTTTATAGGCGCCATTGAGCCACAACTTCCTATAACATATTCATGGGAATCCATTTCAAAAGATCTCTCTTATTATTGTCTCCTTTTTATCCATGCGCTCCGATTAAACAGTTTCTTCCATGAAATCGATTTTTCAGTCGATTCTATGGTAAAAACTCTTCCAAAGGTCTACGTTTATCCAGAGTGCTTATACAAAAAACAATGACAGAAACTGTTGGAAATGTGTTTTCAGGAATATCGAAAAACTTATGACTCATTGGCCCCTATAAAAGGATGCCCACCTATAAAAGGGATGGGCCGTGGCTCAGGAAATTTGTTCGCAACAACATGTGTTCTCTCACAGTGTTCTTGTGCATTTTCGTCATGAATGCCTACGCAAACGGTAAGCCTCGTTGTTATACTCTTGTGGTACTTTAGGTCCACTTTCCTTTTTGGGGTTTTCGCTTACGGCGCACATCGGCTCAGTGGGGACCCAGTATGGTGCTCAGCTAAGCTTGTCCAGGCCAGCTTGTGAAGAACCCGAAGCTCTTGTGGCCCAGGTGAATGACGCGAACAATTTCGCAGCTTCACAGGGGTTTACCAGTCTGACCAATGTGAAACCTGTTAGTTAACAGGAACAAACCAAAGAAACTGGGAAAATGCAGGATGTCCCCTCAAGGCAAACAGTGCCTCGATTATCCACAAGAGAACAACGTGATTTTCAGATGCGTCCCAGACTTCTCAGCCGGATAGGAACTTAGCTACTGACAAAATTCCCAACGGCATTAACAGACAAATTTGTCGTAGTTGGGTTTTTTTTTCAGCGTGCCTTAGAGGGGCTGAGGACTGAGTAAGTTGAAATGAGAGAAAGGATGCCATGAATGATTTTACGGATGCTGGGAATCTTTCCCCCTTAGTACGTTTAGAGGGACCTCCCACATTTTTAATCCGAAGGGAATCTTTCGTTACAGGTATGGGATGAAGATCTTTCTGAGCGCGCTTGCGAGGAAGCATATGGTGAATTAGGCTCTCATGGTTTTGACAAACTTGAAGTAGAAAGGTTCGTCTCTGTCCACTTACCATGTTTATCCTTTATATTGCCTTCAGAACAATAGTGTTGTTAAGGGAGGTACCAAAATCACTCGTAAGATCGAGCAGAATTCAGCGTACCCTCATGCGTGCATATAAAGATAAAGAGGCACAAGTCAATGTCGTGAGTAATAGAAAGATCATTCATTTATTATTCATCGTGTTCATATTCTCCATCAATTATTTTCCTTGCCACCGGAAAACTGGCAACAAAATGCAGGTTTCCTTCTGGTAGAGAAGTTATTCGGTACACTCCGCGCCAGAAATGAAATACTCAAACACTGAACTGAACTGAAAGCAAACACAATTTCCTGCCATATTTCTTTTCTTGAACTGCCTCTAGGGCAGATTGGGAATGTGCTTAGAGAACAAGCAGCAGCATGGTGATATGTGGAATGAAAGTGTTGTTGCGACACAGTCCTCCGCTTCTCCGTCGCTAGTCAACCACTAATTTCAGAAACTATCAAAACTAAATGACTAATAGTTGTGTGGTAGTTCTGCGGCGCTCGTAAACTAGGCAACTAACGAATAAGGGAGGAAATGCGCGAAAGCCAACAAATGGAAAAAAAATTTCTTGCGGCGAAATGCTGTTTGTTGAGGCGAGTACGACCCCCCCAGCAGCGCAAGTACAGAGTACTGGTTCGGAATTCTCTCAACGATGCTCTAACCTAATGGAGAGCTGAGTAACTGAAAGAACTACTAAGGTGATGTCTTCTGATCATGGACACATTCAGGTACGCAATCTTCCTGCAGGCACGAAATATGGATGCAACGCCGTGGAAATACTGGAAGATTAAAACAAGTTGTCTGTCTCTACGAGAAGCAGTGAACTGGAAATTCTCTGCAGCTCCGTCGCACCTAACAAGCAGTACGCATAAAGATTTTCTCCTTTCCATGTTTTGCTCTAGGCAGGAGGCAGATACTGGATACTCACCATTTTACTAGAATGCACTTTTGATGGCAACACGGACTGATCATTAAGGTGTGCGAAACAATTCAACCACAACAGTGTGGGTGACTGCTGTCAAACTTGCAGGCAGAAAGGGAAGGTAAGAGTCTGGGCGCTGTTTTATGATCAAGTAACTCCTCCATCCGAGGGAGTTGCACATTCTCAACACCCATCACACTTATTCAACTTCTTTCGCTACAAGAAAACAACCTGTGACAAAGTGCATGACTACATCCATGTGGACTGATATAGCATTGGTGTGTGGCGGTGCCTCGTGCGAAGAAAGCGTACACATCGCTCACTTGAGAGTATTTCTTTTTATCTGAGGCGAAGGTGGTGCAGTGACAACTGGTGCGCTTATCATCTGCGCGGTCCTGGAGTCAAATCCAACCGAAGCCTTCTACCCCCGTAAACGGTAAATTAGGTAACACGGAGACTTGATATAGTGGCGCGCTGGCTCCCACAGTCATTGTGTAGGCCACATGGCATTCAATAAGCCATTACGATTCCGAAGGGAATTAGAATGCGTGCTGAATCCCACAAAGGGATCGATCAGCGGCGAAGACATTATCCTATCCTACTATATACCAGTCGGATCGCCCGGCTGTCGCCGGGCGCTCCTCCTTCTGTGACATGGCCCGGCTTCGCCGGACCATGCGGATTTGCCGCGTGTTAAGTTAAGGATCGTTGACCAACCACACTGTTCAAAGGAATCTTCTGCATCAGCCAAGAACTGAAAAGCAGCGCTTGTTCCGTCAAGGCGCAGAAGCAGCAGCAGCGCCCCCCCCCCGCATCACAGAAGGAGGAAAGCCTACCTTAGCCAGCGATCCGACTGGTACGTTCATAACCTACACGGAAATAGTGCAGCCTGTGTTGCGTACACCACTGAAGGTAGTCTATAATTTTATTGCAATCTGTTCTTCGCTAAAGCGTCTTGTTTGGAATGCACCGTCCCGCCATCCCCTAGGCAGTTGGAACCCTTAAATGGCCTCATGAAGTTGCTGACTGGAAGACATAATTCTGTGTTAAGAGTTGATTAAAGTTCAGCTAGCCTTGCTCTTCGAGAACATTATCTGTAAACAAACCCCATGCATTTGGAATAGAAGAGTCCCTAGCGCGTCGACACGCGCATGTTCGTTGAACCTAATTTAAGCACGCCAGGTGAGGAATGAGTCTGTTGGAGATCAGCTGAGATCGTATCTTAGGTCCGTCATACTAAGATAGCCTTTGTTGTTCAGTGAGCGGTGAACGCGGATTTTCCCATGCTAACCTTGTTCATTTGAGCGGTCCCCTGACTTCTTTCTCCTTCCCTTCCCCTCTCCCTCTCACATGCCTCCTCCGGCCGCTATCCGCCTAATATAACACTCCTCCCCGCTCATTCAGTCCCCTCCCGGCCCCTTCTTCCTCCCTCATCCTCCTTCTAACTGCCTGCTCCTTCCGCTATCCCACTCCTCCTCTCCATCCACCCCACTCTCGTGTATCACCCTCATCCGGATACCTCAGATACTCCTCCCGCGCTTCTTACACCCTACTTCTTTATCCCGCTGTCCCGCGCATACTCTCTCTGAATCTGATGGACCATCCCCCTTCCCGTGAGCGTCGACCCTTACTCGTTCCCTTACTTCAACCTGTTTAGTCCATTTCTGCCTTGCCGCCACCTTTACATTCGTTCCCTGTTCGTTCCATAGCACTCCTGAACTCATATCGACTCTCCTTACAAGTGATCATCTCTTCGCCCCCGTCCCTTCCACTCGCTGCTCTGCTTGTCATATTCACTGCATTTTCGCACTACCCACGACGTCCTTCGCCCCACTCGACCCTCTCCCTTCCGCCCTATACGCCGTTCTCTACTTCAGCGCTACCTTTTTTCTTCTCAACTGTTTACTTCCTCGTTTCTCTGGCCCGCCCTCCCACTCCCCTTTTACTCTACCTCATATCTACACCGCCTCCTTCCCCACGTTCCCCCCTGCCCCTCCTCCTCTCTTCACTTTCATCACTAGCGTGCCTCCTCTCTCGAACCACAGACTACTTTCGTCACCTTCTCCTTCGGTCCCGCTGTTGCTGCAACTTGCCACGAATTCGGTCACCCTCCCCTTTTAGCCCCTTATCGAATCTTATCAAGTGTCATCACCTCCTGTCACCCATCAAAAGTGTTCCCGTCCTGCCATGTATATCACTCCTTGAAATCACGGTCCCACACCTGCTGCAACTTGCGCTACGAATTCAGTCACCCTCCCCTTCTACGGCCCCTTATCGTATCTTATCAAGTGTTATCACCTCCTCGTCACGCACAAAAGTTGTTCCCGTGGCCTGCCATGTATATCACTCGTTACATCACGGTCCCACCACCTGCTGCAACTTGCGCTACGAATTCAGTCACCCTCTCCTTCTACGGCCCATTATCGTATCTTATCAAGAGTTATCACCTCCTGACACCCACCAAAAGTGTTCCCGTCCTGCCATGTATATCACTTCTTGGAACTGTCATCCTATCTTTTCTGCGACGCTCGCTATGAATTTCGTGACACACACACACACACACACACACACACACACACATCAGCACAACACACAGGACACACAAGCGCATGTATAGTATTAGTAGGATATGCACTCGTGTACGCCCGTGGGATATACGTTGCATAGCTTTTGTGTGCCCCCCCCTCGTCGGCATCGACGTTATATAGAGTAGGATAGTGGGAAGTGGGATGAGTTCATTTTCTAGTGTTATCAGGAAAGTGTTGGCCAAAGGAAATTTTCACAATCTGAGCCTCGAATACTCGGCATTAAAGCGGTGAGAGGTTAGCGCAGATGGTATCGTCAATTTTTATCGATTGATAAGATTACCTGTCACCCGTCATCAATGTCCTCATCACTAAATCTCTATGATTTGAGAGCGTGAACCGCCTTGAACAGCGACGACGACTGCAACCTCCATTATCAGCGCTTATCAGTAGTTATCGCTTCTAGTCACCCACGGTTGATGTTCCCAGTCACTCTATATACTTTGAAAACGCACGCCTCGCTGATACTGTGACCTGCGCTATGAATACGATGACCTCACTATTCTAACGTCCCTTATCGAATCTTATCAGCAGCTCACAGTTCTTATTACCCACCAATAATCTTTTTGGCCCTCATCCTATATCATATCTCGAAATCAAGAGCTGACTGCTGCTGTGACCTGCGCTGTGAATATGGTAACCTTTTCCTTCTAACGCCCCTTATCGAATCTTATCAGCAGCTTACAGTTTTTGTGACCCACTAATGATGTTCTTGGACTATCCTCTATATCTTTAAAATCGAGAGCAGGCTGATGCTGTCACTTGCGTTTTGATTATAGTGACCTTCTCCTTCTACAGCCCCTTATCGAATCTTATCAGCTGATATAACTTCCTGTCACCAACCAATAGTGTTCCCGTCACACCTCCCTCGTACATCACTTCTTAAAATCACTGTCTCACTGCTACTGGGACAGGCGCTATGAATTTCGTGACACACAGACAGACGCACACACAAACATACACACACACACACACACACGGACGACAGTACTTAGACGGATTATATAGAGTAGGATAGTGGGAAGTGGGATGAGTTCATTTTCTAGTGTTATCAGGAAAGTGTTGGCCAAAGGAAATTTTCACAATCTGAGCCTCGAATACTCGGCATTAAAGCGGTGAGAGGTTAGCGCAGATGGTATCGTATGTCAATTTTGATCGAGTTGATACAGTTTTACCTCTCACCCGACCGTCATCAATGTTCTCATCACTAAATCTCTATGATTTGAGAGCGTGAACCGCCTTGAACAGCGACGACGACTGCAACCTCCATTATCAGCCCCTTATCAGTAGTTATCGCTTCTAGTCACCCACGGTTGATGTTCCCAACTCACTCTCTATATCACTTGCTGAAACGCACGCCTCGCTGATACTGTGACCTGCGCTATGAATACGATGACCTCACTATTCTAACGTCCCTTATCGAATCTTATCAGCAGCTTACAGTTTTTGTGACCCACTAATGATGTTCTTGGACTATCCTCTATATCATATCTTAAAATCGAGAGCAGGCTGATGCTGTCACTTGCGTTATTTGATTATTAGTTGACTCTTCTCTTCTACACCCCTTTCGATCGTTATCAGCCTGTATAACTTCCTGTTCACCAAACCAATAGTGTTTCCCGTCACACTCGTACATCACTTCTTAAACAATCCACATGTGCTCACTGCTACTGGGACAGGCGCTATGAATTTCGTGACACACAGACAGACGCACACACAAACATACACACACACACGGACAGACATACTTAGCGGATTATATAGAGTAGGATAATTCGCTATAAGTTTGTCTGTTTGCGTGCATGTCTGTGTGAATGTATGTTTGTGTGTCTGTATGTGTGTTTTGACCGGAAATTCATAACTTCCTTCAAAACAGCGACTGTGCGCTCAAACTGATAAGTTATGTAGGAGGTCGGGCAGGAACACTATTGGTAGGTGGCAGGAAGTGATAAGAGCTGATAAGATACCATAGGGGGTCTTAGAAAGCGAGGGTCACCGACTCCATAGCGCGCGTCACAGCGACGCTAGGACTTTAGTTCCAAGAGGCAGTATAGGGGACAGGATGAGAACATTATTGGTGGGTGGCAGGAATTTATAACAGCCTGAATAAAAGATCATCATGAAGGGATCTTAGAAAGCGAGGGTCACCAAATTCATAACACCCCACAGCAACGACGAGACATTGGTTCCAAGAAGTAATATAGGGGCAGTATGGGAACATTATTTATTATGGTGGGTGTGCAGGAATTGATAACAGCTGATAAGATAGCCAGGAAAATTCACA